CAGACCTCGCGCTCGGTTAATAACCTCTTAATATTCTAGTACACACACTAGACATCATAGCTAAAACAGGGGAACCTGAAAATTATTCCTTGCTCTTCCTCACTCTTATTTTTCGATATTTATACGTAAAACAGCTAAAAGTAAAATAACTATGCCTTTTTGACCGCGTCATTGCTTTAGTTTCAATCTTGAAGGAATGGTATCAGAACAATAACATTGCTCAGTAACAATAACTTTATCAGTAACAATAACGTTGTACCGTTGTCAGTAACAATACGAGTAGTTTTTTTGCACACTTTGCACTGTGTCATTAGCACCAATTACTAGGAGCGTCCAATATTTACGCGTTTTCATTTTATATTTTGTATCGATAAGGTTTAAGGACTTCTTTACTAATGATTTCACATCGTCATGTACAACAAAGGGTACGTGTCAACCCTGCATAAAGGGTCTAGTTAATCCAAATAAAGACACGTCCTTGATAACTCCAATACAACAGTGAAAACCAAAACCTAATACACGTCATGGACGCTACTAGTAATGGGCTCTTGATTGTGTAGAAGAATGAGGTTCATTTTCTATAGACCTCATGAAGCTTAAGTTATCTTTCAACATTACTTTGATGAAAGAGCAAAGTTGTGCTATCTGGGCAAAACTATGAAAATGCATACATATCCTCAATTTTATTAGATTCAACTGCTATACTTGGAGAATAGCCTGGGGACTAGGCTAGTTTTCAAGGATTGATTTGCAAAGCTGCGCGCATGTGCACGTCATAATCAAGGTTCACCCACTTTTCCCCCTTGCATGATAAAAAGAAAAGATAAAGCTTTAGTATTTCTTTATTTCCAAAGTTTTGTATAACCTTGTGTAGAGTTCCGTGACATTATTTTCTATAAATAATTGTTCTCTATTCTTTAATTTCAAACCACTTATAAATTGTGATGCTATATGTATATATATATGAGAGGTTGCAGCTAAAAAGGGGTCTTATTTCAAAATCTCTTGCCTTCGACTGCATATTAACCGTTGCGTCATCAAAGGGGTCTTAGTCCTTAGCACCCCCTTTTGATTTGCCATACCTCATATATATACTATATATATATGAAATAACTTGAATATAAATGCACAAAAGGCATTTTCAATTTATCAGAAAGCATTTCCTGGTGCGATGGAAAGTTATTGATTTTGATTAGAAACGAACATTTTTTAAAAACGGTCTTTGTTACTGAAAATCTGATTTCATCATAAGAAAGAATATAACTAGTTAACCTGGGTGGTTTAATTAAATATGTTAAAATAGATAGTACAGAGGTACAAGCAAATTAAATGTATCGAAGACATGATAACTCAGATAGACCCCTATTCTGATTCCCATTCAAATCCCTGTAATTAAAAAACTGTAACTTCTGCCCCTTGAATGTTAGAGCTCTGGAATGTTCTACGATTCGTTTCATTGAAATTAATTCATTGTTTGTACGAAAATGCGCATAACTACAAAAATATACTTTATGCGCACGATCTAGCGCGCCTATGGACTAAATCTACAATATATATACAGCTAAACGAAAAGTTGTTGGTGATAACTTTCTCGTWTATATTACCATCCTTYCAAATATCTTCACTGAYGCTGCATTAGTTCTCATCATAGCATCATTATTATTATGAGCATTTGCGATGTTTATGCCAAAGTCAGGAATTATTGACCTAYAATCGATTCACTCTGCTTGAATAAAGGAAAGTACATATAATAAGTCAGCATTAATCTATTTTATTTAATATCAGTCACTAGTCAGTGCAAGTTGTTCGTAAAGTCACTATAAATTACACGAAATTGCCCACATGTTAACTATATTCTGGACGTTAGGCTTTGATATGTACCCTTTCAATTGGTTTTTACTGTTCAGTTCCTCAATGGCCTCCTTTGCTTTATTTTGGTCAAGAGCCTTCTTATGACAATGTGCAGTTGAATTTCGCGTCTTTCGAACTTCTTTCACAGCTTTCACCATTTTGGGTTTCCATCCAACTTGATTTTGAAACNTGAATTCATAATACTTACAGATTACCGTCCTTTGTTGTCATTGTTTGTCCCAGATCTATATTGCCACCAGGTTGCCACCACTCATTCTATAGTCCTACAATCACAAGATTGAATACAGGAATACAATAGCACATGTAGATGCTGACTCAATGTCTTGACTATCCTTACTTGTGACATTTTTGGAACACACATTGGAAATTAATGTCATTATCAAGAAATCTATTTTGCAGTACACGATGACTGGATGATCACAAATAGTGGATTCATTTTTTATTATTACAAGAACAAACAAACAAGACGAGCTTACATTAGACCAAGGGGGACGTTTCCGATTACACTTCAAGACAAAGTTCTCAAGGAACTGCATGAGACACACCCTGGAATGACACGCTTGACATCCATTATGAGGTCGGTCTTATTTTGATCGCCAAATATCGTCTAGGGTATTGAGAATACAGTAAGACTTTGTCAGATGACTCTAGCGGATCCACCTCACGCAGGCTCATGCAACTTCTTGTTTCATGTATTTCCAGACAGAATCCAAAACAATAAGAATACCACTGACTTGAGGAATTAACTTGACTTATTTCAACAAAATCAAATCATCTGCTTAGTCAAACTTCTTTAGACGAGGTTAAATGAAGCAAGAGGACTGCCTGATTGGAAAGTGGAATAATCTATGCAACAGTTACATCTCAATTGAATGCCAGATTCCATCAACAGTGATCTTCATTGTCTTGAACGTATGGGTGATAATACTGACAAAAGTTTATTATTTTCAACTATATATGGTTATTAATTTACCCACTTCTTAAAAAGATTTGAGAATTGCAAATGCAAATGACGTAAATCCAGGAAGAAATATTGAAGAAATATTTACTGCTTATTTGACATAATTAAAGTGCTACTTGCATGAAAATGGCCATATTTCAAAACTTCAAGTAATATAAATATATGACTCACATATATCTATTAAAAGCAATTGCGGGAAAATCTTTGTTTTGGAATTGTCCCACGTCAGAGAAATTTTGATTAATAAGATGGAAGAACAAAAGGATGGAGTAAATGATGTCATCTACTCCAACATTTTTTGGCCAAATTATTAAGGATTTGTATCAATATCTTCTTGAAATCTGTTGCTTCATGGTTATTTTAATAAAAACCCATATGGATAGTTCTATTTGATTTCCAAGTTTTTTCTAATGTTTCGCAATTTTCGTCCAAGTAGCCCTTTAACTGGTTGGTCAATAATTGTGCTATTTCGCTCAAACTCATTCCTAACTGAATTCCGAAGAAACAGATCCCCTCAAAGTTTCTGACTCCAATTTTTTTTAGGGGAGGAGGGATGACAAAGAAACTGAGAAGCGATGGGAAAAACTGAGACGTTTTTGTCGTTATATTTCTATTCTTGGGTATTTCTATTCTTTATTTTCTTGTAGAGTTGATAGAACCTTTAGTGTGATTGAGATGATTCGAATGTGSTTGTGTTCTTACCTCCTCTCCAAATGTGTTGACACGAAAGATTTTCTTGACTGGACATGCAACGTTTTCCTAATCTTTGTTCAAAATGTAGGATAATGACAATTCTTCGTTGAAGAAGATATAGGATGTATCATTCATTGTTTCAACCGTCTCTTTTAGCAGTTCAAATATCTGTATCTTGCTGGCATTGATCCAAAGGGCACCATTCACGGCTAGAGCCATCGATGTACTTTGAATCCAGAATGACTTTGGTGGCCGATGAGATTAACATTTGTAGTGTCTTGACGTTGATTTGATTTTGCTGACAATAAACTTTTTGAGGTGGGCTGATAGCCATTGCCGCTCGAGTTAATGACTGATTTACTGTGAATTAAGCTTTCCTTCTTTGAAGCGTGATGGCACTTGTGTACAGCTGTTGGTCCATGATGTGGTGTCACACAGTACAAACTCCATTTAAGCTGGCATACATCTACTTTATAGCATTTAAGCTGAAATTGACACGCATTTGCATTGTATCTTCTTTTGACCCTCAAAACTTAAACTAGTCTGACATGAAGCCAAATGTCCGGAACAATTGCATAAGTTATGCGTACATCGTATTGTCGTTTTGCCCAGTATCAGCTCGAGTACATTTTGATACAGATCACTCTTAAATTCAAAAACAGAACTCAATAACCTATTGTATTTTCTGATATATCTTTAAAATTGTATTGAAAATAATTCAAATCGACTCGAAAGCACTAATTAATTTTAACTTCTTCTCAGTGTGCCCGTCTGAGCAGTCAGTGAAGAAATGGCCATGAAAGTAGTGCAGAGGGAGCCAATTATCTGGAGTCAATTCATCCAAGAAAACGTTATTCGCAATTTTACATAAAATTGTTTTGAAAATTGGAATGTCTAAGTAGTTATACTCTATTGTCAATATTTGGTATACATATACGTTGAACGCTTCTAACTTATTTGAGAATACAAACTCACCAATAATATATGTGTTGCTAGCACTTGACTAGACTTTCTTTATAGGTAAGTTCTTACAAGTACATGCCGCTCATTGCAGACTATAAAAGTAATAAATAGATATGACGACTAAAGAACKCTATTGTTGRTCACATTCATTCCAGGACATCAAGAAAGCGATATCCCTGACTGACTTCTTTAGTTTCATTGAGACAGCGTGTGACCGAAGAGAAAAGTCTGTATGATTTTGAAATATGATTTTTCTTATAAATGTAGGGTGCAGGTTTTTCTTCCATGTTGAATACATTCTTCAGCAAGAAGCTACAGTATTACTTCTGATGTTTTAGGTTCGTGCTAGTATTTGGGCTGGTAACCACAACACTCTGAACTGAGGTTTGGCATCACAGTCAGTAACTTCAYTAAGGGGTCCAGACAGCAAAGGGCTCTACTTATAAGACATGTCTCATTTAAAAAGGATGACATAAGAATTCAGCCAATGACGGMGCCTTTATGAACTAAATTTTCAATAATTCCATATACTTCGAATAACTGGTAAGCCATGGTGGAATAAGTCTTCGGTCTCATTTAATTTGAACAAATTGTTTATTACAAATTTACTTGACCGGAACATCAGAGAAGAACCCAGCATGYATCTCTATTTCGGACGCTTATAATAAATGTGATTGAACATGATTTCCTTTGAACTCTTCTTATATAAAGTTTTTGTCGCTTACTTTTCTGGGCATCTTTCTAAACCCTTCCATACCTTGGATTGTACATGATATCTTATTCAAACTATTTTTTTGGTTAGAATAACCCTAGGGAAAATTCTCAAAGCGTCTGAATCAACGTGATGTCGGATGCATCCTACTGTTCTCACTGCTCACTTATTTGTTACGCGAAAGTTCCGCACTTTTCTAGTACAATACTCGCGTCATTGCAGTCAATCATGTGATATTCCATGCTTACCATTGTTTAAAAAATCAAGTCGATGAATTTATCAGAAATTCAATGATTAAATCTCACTATTAACCATATTGCTTTGCGAATCTTCTCTGAATACATGAAATTTTGAGTTTTAAAAACGATAAATGTATCTATGAGTATTGGATGATATTTAAAATCGAAATATGAAATGTCATTTTCGTGAATATCGAAATCATCCAAGGCACGTACAACTACGTCATTAGTTTCTACTTGTTCAAGACAGGAATTATATTTGCTGTTATTGCTTCACTCTTTGTAACTTTAATTTGGAAAAATCAACATCTAGTAGAAAGTTCCTTGTCCTGGAAAATCAAGCATGGCTCATCTATGACTTGAGCTTTTTAACTATGTTGACATTGAATAGCTAACTGCAGCAGCAGTTTGAAATGCTGGAAAAAAAAAACATTAAAATAGACATTGCGACACGACTTAGACTGTCCTCACCACTGTATTGAGAACAAGTGTTGTTGTCATTTAAACATACAATAAAATGACTATTTACTAGTTAATAAGAACACAAAAACAATAGATTCAGAGTGAGATACCAACTTTTAGTGTCATTAATCTTTCACGGACCTTCACGGTCAAATGAAAACGATTCTCCGATCAAACCCTGTTTGACCTCTAGTAAGTATATAAAGTGAGACTGAATTATCACAACTAAAACTCGGGGACGATAGCTATTTACTGATAATGTAGCAAAAGGACGACATAGTCACGTTCATATACATCTTGAAAAGCGGTAAGAATATCGATCAGCTGATCTCCTTTCGCAAAAGCGTTTTTGTATATTCATCAATTTTGTCTTTAAGACTTATTTCGTCCTTAGAAGAAACTTAATAGAATACCCCATCACATTATCACAATTATTCGCAATTATACTGAAAACCAGACAAACTTGCATATATTTTAAAACTATTCKATAAAGTAACATGGCAATTTAAGTTTGTCGATGAAGGAGACAAAACGCCATTGTAAGAAGGAAATATCAAAATTTACAGAGCTCCATTAATTCCAATAATTGGACGATGGATTGTTATTAGTGGGTAACCGTCATGGAATTATTGGTGAGAAACAGACCGTGTATACACACAAGATGTGATAACAGATTTATCTGGAATAAAGGAACCCGTCAATTCTTGAACATTGATTTATTCGATCAAAGAGTAAAAACCTTGCACTGTTAATTGTCGGTAAAATTGACATTGAATATCTTTAAAATGAAATCATTATTGATGAAATATTCAATTTTGTAATAATTTATTAAAGCTATACTAACATTGAATAGTTTCCGTACGCCTCATCAGCGACAAATTTGACCACATTAAAATCGGTTAAACTATTTGATTATTATCTTTAATTAACTTAAYTAATTTGTATCGAACTCCAAGATTRWATGTCTATCCACAATTACAAGTAAATGTCAGTTTTCAAGATGCTTCTTAATCTTACCTCTAGAACGGCTAGAAAGACTTGTCTTGAGGAAGTCAGTTTTTCTATATGAACTACAGATCAAACAATAGTTCATTTGTAATGCTTCTTACGTCATTCCCCTTCCCTCCACCCCTCCCTAATATCCCTTATCTCCCCTCCCTTGAACCAATGATAGAATAAGTGCTCAAGCAGGATCTGACCTGTTTTTATGAACTTCTTTACAATCTTCGCCATACATTCACTGCGAGGTCTCCACTGTATTCACACTGCATTAACGGTGCCTGGAATACAATTGCATTTGATGTAACTCACTTTTAACGTGATCATCGCCGATTCCTTACATTCTCCACCTTTGGAAAGTCAAGCAGACTCCCCTCCCTCCCCTCCCTTTCCTTCATAAAAGCAAAAGCTCATTATTAAAATATGATAGGCTTAAACATTTTATGGTCTCCGAATCCGTCAACACAGGGTGCCACAGGATGAGTTATAAAATGGAATTTTCTAAGCTTTCTCTTTTTTTCAAAAATACGTATCATTACTCCATTATGACCATGAGTTCGTGGTATTTTGTTTTAAATGACTTAATCATCTAAATGCAAAGCTCTAAGCGTGCGTATACCTAAACTACATCCAAATAAGAAAAACATTCCCTTTCATATTGTAAAAATACATTGATGCTGGAATGACGCTGAGTCTATGCACTAGTGAACGACAGGGTCAAAGTGACTTTTGCTTTACTTGGCACGTTTCAGCATGAGCTAGCATTCCCCCTCCATTGTTTCCGTGAGTCTCAACACTTTCAGTTTGTAGTCACTCCCTTGAGTTAATTGTTAGGCATGAATACATTTCTAAATACATGAAGTTTCCTTTACGGTGCTTTTTTAGAATGTCATTTTTTTTAAATTATGCATTGTGATTGTCCATAGTTTGATGATCTTCTAGTTATGGTTACCGTGTGAGCTACACTTTGAGCTAATTTGCTACCCTTGAGAGTATGAATCATATCAGTGAATGCTTTTGGTTCGAACTTACTTTCACTAAAAGGAAACTATCAACAGGAAAGAGAAAGACTAGCGATTAGTTGGCTCAATAACAGGAGCCCCGCAGGGGATCAAAAAATGCTTASRTTGAAGGCGTAGTCAAGTAAAGTTCATTGTAATATTTTTGTGTCTCTATTATAACCGTTACCTTAAATATCAATGGTAAATAATTGAAAACCTAGATTTTACACTGRTTGAGGTGTTTTAAAAGTTTTAAAGATAGCGTTTTTCTTGATATCAGGTTCTCGTTACCAAGTTTGATTCATTTCCAAGAATGGCTTGGAATCTTCAGCCAACAAGGCGTAGGTGGAGTCATTTACATCCAAAACCTACAACCATAATAACTATTGACTCCTTGCAGTTCGTGGGAATGCAATTCCAACTGGAGGACAAATGAATAGATTCTAGTTCCCAAGAGGGCAAAAATATTTTGGTTTGACCTCCAGATGAAGCTGCTTTGACGTCACATGCAGGGGGTCTATAGATGCTAACATTCTAGTACAGGCACACTAGACATCATAGCTATAACAGGGAACCTGAAAATTACTCCTTGCTCTTGCTCGCCCATATTTTTCGATATTTATACGTAAAACAAGTCAAAGAAAAATGATTGCACCACTTTGACCTCGCCATTGCTTTATTTTCAATCGTGAAGGAATGGTATCAGAAACAATAACATTGCCAGTAACAATAACTTTATCAGTAACAATAACGTTGTACCGTTGTCAGTAACAATAGAAGTAGTTTCTTTGCACACTGTGTCATTAGCCCCAATAACTAGGAGCGTCCATTATACACGCATTTTCATAGACGTGTCTACTTTAAGATTTTCCTCAGTCGTCTCTTTAGTAATAGCCTCTTTGCTATCGCTTGCTTCAGAAAGATTAAAACAAAAATCGCTTTTTCACAGACATTCGCCGTGTTTAATTATTATTTATTATATTTTCGTTTCCCCCGGATCTCGCGCTAGTAACACCGGGGGTGATTTCTCATTGGTCGGAGAAAAATCTAAGGAAACGTGCTTGAGAACTCAAATACAACGATGAAAACTAAAACCAAAGAGTTATTGGAGTGGGACGAATCTGTCACTCAATCACTCAGTCACTCACTTTCTTGTAAACTTGAGCATGCGTTGCTTGTTTTCAGAACTATTAATCGTATGTTCGTCTACATAATCAATCTTCGAGTTGTGTTGCCATTGGCGGCTTGATCTATGGACGAAGCTAAAATTAGCTTTCAACGTTACTTTGATGATAGAGCAAAATTCTGCTATCTTGACAAAATGAGAATATGCATACATATCCTTAATTTTAATTCGGATTCAACTTCCATATTTGGAGAATAGTAAGAAATGGAACCATTCCTTTAAAACAAGAAACTGTTTTGGCAGTGATAGGCTGYGAAGGACACTAAAGGTGTGAATGGCAAAGCAAGCTCATGATGTATAGATATTTCAGCTTGATGTCAGCATAATAGTTTAGTTTCGCGATCTCTTTTACTCTGTGTTAGCCTCAATTGTGTGCAAAATATTCAGAAATTTTGATAAAACTCGTGAAATTTCAAACTATTTTCATTGTCTTCTATAATCACGGATCTCTTGCATTTGCACGGACTGTTAGTGAATAAAAGAATTTATTACATGGTTTCATGTGAGGCTAACACATGAGTGTAAAAGAGATCTTTAAAAGGGTTTATTGTCTGTTATTGATTCAGCTATGCCGTCACGCCGAACGACTTAGATTAGCCTGAGGACAGGGCTAGTTTTCAGGGATTGATTTGCAAAGCCGTGTATATGTGCATCTCATAATCGAGCTTCACCAACTCTTCCGCCTTTGCATGAAAAGAGTTATARMMACAATYAAAACCTTTAGAATTTAATTAATTCCAGATTTTYGGACATCTTTGTGCAAGTAAGTAATGTGATCATAGGCGTAGAACTCATAGAGTTCCGTGGTATTATTTCTCTCTATAAATTGTGATCTATGTGACATAACCTGATTAAAATTGCATAAAAAAGTGYACAATTTTTCAGAAAGAACTTCACTGGTGGGATGGAAAATCATGAATTTTGATTATGAAGTAGCACTTTAAACGATAATATTACTAAAAATCTGATTTCATGATAAAAAAGAATATATATAGACTAGTGAATCGTGGTAGTTTTAAATAAATACTTTAAATTAGTATCTGCAGAGCTACCAGCAAATTAACTGTATCGAAAAATGAACGAGTCAGAGTCTGATTCCCATTCAAACAAGTAACTTCTGCMCCTTGAATGTTAGAGCTCTGGATTGTTTATATCTTACTTCTATACTTTCTTCTATATGACTTTTTCAAAAGGGAACAATAGATCTAAGCACGCATTGCTATTTACGTTACCGCCCAATTCAAATCCTGTGGGAAAAAAGAACTTTTGTTTCTAAGAATTCAACTGTGAAATGAAAATACAACGAACAATGAAACTTACTCTTAAACTTACCAAGTGGTTTGAATTCGGTGGAAACGTTTCTAACAAATCGTTAGCCGATTAGTTCGGTGATATGTTATATCTGAYGAATTAGCCAAGCCTATATATTTATATGTCTTGTGTGAAAAAAAGTAAAAATATAGCCCTTTGAAATTAGATTTCGAGCTTATGGTATGCTTTAAAAATATGTTTCGTTTTCTAGCCTGTGTACATCCGTATCTCACCACTACAAACGTCTTTTGCATTATCAATCAGTCTGCATTATCATTCGGTAAACGTACCAACCCAAAAATATTTATACTTTCCTAAATATTCTGCTGGTACTAGTTTCATTGCAAGCTCTAAAAATGACCTCTCCTTGGCTGACATTGTTTCGCCAATTTTTTGCAGGTCTTCTTCTTTCAGTAGATTAGGGTGGGCTTCATGATTTCTCTTGTTCATCGTCTTTTCCATAAATTTAACAAAGTCCGAACCAATCTCTTCTTTCTTTGCTCTCCAAATTTCTTTTTTCTCGTCTTGTTTCTTTTTAGATTTATATGTCAATTCGATTTCTTTTTCAATGTTCTTTAGACAAAGCTGTTTGAACTCTTTCTCGGGTTTTCCATCTTTTCCAAGAAATAGATCTGGCAGGATCTCCCGGCATATCTCTTTCAACTGAGAAGGATTAACTTCTGCCATTAACTCAAAATAATCAGAACCGATCTCTTCTTTCTTTTTTCTCCATATTGCTTTTTTTTCGTCTTGTTCCTCCTTGGTTTGATACAAGGTTTCGATGTTCTTTTCAATTTTGCTTGGATGTGGAACCTGGTACTCTTTCTTGTGTTTTCCATCTTTGTCTTTGAAGTATGCTGGAAGAATCTCTTGGTAAATGTTTACCATGCACTTCGCGAAAAGCTGACCAATGTAGAGAACATCTCTTGATTTTTGCAAATCATCGGTTTTTGACTTGTATACTTTCACTTCACGTTTGTATGCATCCACATTGTCCGATAGCTTTTTTATTTTGGTATCCATCTCCTTTCTAAGAGACTCCATTTCTCTCTTTGAATCAGTTTCTTTTTTCTCCAATTGACCTTGTATCTGTTGAAAAAAACTGACTCTATGCTCTATGAATTGGCGTATGCTTTCTTTGTCTTTCCTTCCTTCGGCTTTAAGGCTTTCTACTTCACTGCTCAGAATCGCCTTATCATTTCTAAGGGCTGCTATTTCGTACTCTAGCTCTTTCTTTTTTTCTTCAAAAACTGTCTTAGGGACAAGTCCTTTGATTTCCTCTGTGAAGAATTCATCTTTTTGTCTTAATGTCGTCACTAGTGTTCTCTTGTCATTTTCAAGGCGCTCGATTCTTAGATCTAAACTAGCGATCTTTTCGTTTAATTCCTCAATCGACATCTGGTAGAGTTCCTTTTGTGATCTGAAAGGAATGCAAACCAGGGAACGGTGAACTTATTAATTAATTAATTTCATTAACTTACCTTAAAACCACTGATTGCAATGGATAATTCGGCGACAGTAGTGCACATACAAAATAGATGCTTATTGTAACCGCGCATTCACGACTTGACTTATGCTCATTGTCTTTATCGTCAGTGCAATAACGCGAAAAAACACAAGCATTTCATTTAAAGCTGGGAAAACCCCACAGCAGAATTTTTTAGAAATCACTTCGCCATAAAAAGGAACTTTCTAGTCTAGCGAAACTGGCACATCGCGAATGATATATTGGTAAGCTAAATCCCCGGCCACCGGGGAAAAACACACTATAGCTGGGGATTTTATTAACACTGCTTTAACAACACAATTAGCAGTATTGCGGGGGAATGGGAATTGACATCTAAATAAGAGAAAATTATCCATTAAGCCTCCTTTTTTAGCCTCTAATAAGGGCAAGAAAATGCAGGAACGTAAAAATTGTTGAGATGTTAATTCCGCATGTATTACCGGGGGGCGGGGGAGGAGGGGGGGGGAGGAGGTGACTCTCGTTATGCATGAACTAGCCGAAAGTGACCTACTGATAATTTTTGCGTGAATAGCTAAAGAATTTGCTCGAGCATTTTTGTGCTAAAAACAGGCCTAAGTTGGGTCAAAGCTGAGAAGCACAACTCGAGGTATTTTGTATCAACAACAACCTTTTTCAATTTCAAGAAGTGTTTCTTTCTATTTTTTTCTCCACTCGGTTCAATCAATTTCAGAAGAACATATCTCATTTGGCTTACAAATGTGCAAAGTTTACTACAATAATGTGATAATTATAGTTGGTGGACTTTGGTCTATAGAGACTTTTTTATTTGACCTCGAAAGATTATTGCGAATAAGTCCCTGTTTACATGAGGTAGGGTGCCCATAGATACAGTCAAACTGTTTTTCTTCTTCTTCTTCTTCTTCTTTCCCTGGCCGTATTTAAAACAAAGAGTTTGGCTCCACTACCTAGGGGCACCCTATCTCACTAAACTTGATGAAACCAACTTAATGAACCTGACAACGTTTTGTCAAATTAACAAAATAACTGACGCATTTACTAATTGGAGAGCAACTCTATTGTTTAATCTGATACTGAAATCGAAATACCAATGCAGTCACGCTCGGTTTCCGTGTGTGTTTATGTGATATTTATCGTTCAAATTGCTCATTGAAATACACTATTTTTTATATAGAATGATTTAACACCGATTCTTAAGGGTGTACTGACATCCGTTGCTAGGGAAATTCAGCAGTTCTCTAAAATGATATGCTCAGTCTCCAGCCGTCGGGATTTCGTGCGCCCGCGATACTCTCTSCCCTGACRDCTGGSYGCATGRGGTTCGCTATTGTCAGTCTTGACCAATCAGCGAGTGGCCCCTGAAATTTTCAGGGGTATATCATTAATAAATTAGCAGGCAGCAGTGTAACAAAATGGCGTACAATTCGTCGTTTGAGATTCTCTTTGAAAGTGCTTGTTTGAAGGCTCTGAAGTCGTTTAGCTTGGACGAATTTAGAGAAATACAGCAAAAGGCTCTTAAAGAGATTGTTCTTGGAAAAGATGTCCTTGTATGCTCGGGCAAATCTCTTATTTTTCAAACAGCGCCACTAGTGTATTTTGCTCGTTTTTCTGGCAGATAATACATCCATTTGGATTATTAAACCCTACACATGTTTTACTTGGGGTAAGTTCCATTCCTTTCTCTTTTTTAAAGCGCTAACTATTACATTATATCGCTACTTCGCGAAGTTTTCATTTCACATAATTTCCCGCCTTGTAGCAAAACCTTTACGGCTGTTGTGAGATATTTCACTTCCGTTCACTGAAAAATTCACTTCCGTTACGTCATAATATGCTAATTACACAAAAACGTCACGGACATGCGCGACACGTTTCGAACCCCATGCACCCGGCCGTCAGGGGAGAGAGTATCGCGGGCGCACGAAATCCCGACGGCTGGAGACTGAGCCTACTAAAATGACAAACAAAAGTAAAATCGCTTTCGTATTGAGTATTAAGCCTTCTTAAACAAAAATAACACATTCTATGACGTCATTGTATGACGTAATCGCGTGACGCCATTGATTCGAAAAAATGCTATAATTTCATCAAGCAAAGTATATTAAACGATTTAAAATGAATGAAATTAATCTTTAGATCTAAGTCCGTAAAGCCAAGCATGCGTTTTTAGAATGATTGCCAAATAAGCTTTTTACGATTTTTTAAATGCCACAAATAAGCGAAAAATGCCTATAACTTTCGCTTTCGTAGTTTTTAATTTTTCGCCAAATCCATGCTTGGTTCTGAAGAAGAGGCTGTGAAGAACATAAATATTGAAAAAACACGTCCATTTGATGTTTCGCACCGAAGATTATATTTTTTAAATGGTACCATACATTTTATGTAAAGAAAAACCTTTCTACCGGAAGTAAAACAATTCCCGCCATGAAAACGCGCGCGCGCCCGCTTCTCCGATTGGCTAGCATCGGCTAGCATAGCAACCAGGTCGTCTAGAAACGGATACGTCAGTACACCCTTAAAAACTACGCACCCTCGTATACAAAGTCTGTGACTCGCATTTGCTGATTCTCTTCGTCAATTAAACAGAGTGGACGGGAAATGAGTATGCTTATAACTCGAGATGGTCGGCGCTATACGTTATGCGCCTATAAATCGAGGGTTAGTTTCTTATATACAAAAGGAAGATTTCTAAGTCAGGATCCTTAAAAAAAGACGTTTGCGTCATTCGTGCTAGCCGAAATTGTCCGAATATTTCAAATACATTCAGCTGATAATCTGTTTAGGATTTAAAATTAGCGCTAAATTTTACTGAATTATGCCAATTATGAGTTGTTTGACTAAAAAAGTATCAACCACTTATTGATTGGTTTATCAACCCAATCTTTCGTGCCTTTGGCACATCTTCTCAGGACGAACAAATTAATCCTGAGAAGATGTGACAAAATTGTTTGATTCAAATTATGATAGGAGCCAGCTCACTTTTGTATTTGTTCGCCCTGATGATGTGCCAAAGGCACGAAAGATTGTCTTGATAAACCAATCAATACGTGGTTGATACTTAGTTTTAGCTAATAAGTTTTTTTCCCACGTACCACACTATAATTCTATGACGTATTTTGTCTAATCTTCACTTTATCATATAGAGAATATTAAATGAGAGCGCGGAGATACGGATTTTATCTTCGAGTGTTGAAAAGATAAAAATTGGTTAAAAAAATTTRTGCAGTACGTATGGATTATTATTTTGACAATAATATACTTACTATCTTAACTTGACCACTGCAGCTTGCTATTGACATTTTACAATCGACTGAACGTGATACAAATCTCTGAAAGACGAATGATAGGGGTCAGTGATTTCTTTCTCCTTGCGAGCTCTCCGGCACTGCCAAGTCGCTAAGTTACCAAACTAAACTGATTGATTCATACGTTGAATGACTGTCTTTGCCATAACATGAAGAAGGACCCATTCTCCAATGGATGAAAGGCACGCCGTACCCAATAATAATTTTCGCCGCCATGTTAGTGGTTACCGTGGTGCCGTTGGTCAGCAGTAGGTATAGAAGTCTTGCCCGTGAAGGCCTAGAACTAGCAAAAACTCGGAGAAAGAAATCAGTGACACCTATCGCCTTCCATACAAATCAGTACAAATGACGCAAAGAGTGTGCCCAAATTCACCAATTATATTTTGATTAACATTACAAAGTTGTAGCGTCATTCTTAAATGAGTTTTTCTCCGAACTATGGCGCAACGGTATGAGACTATTTTTTTTAGAATTACACATGAATGAATAGCGCTTTTAATATTGAGAAATGCTAAATTTTTCTGTGCTTCAATTAATTGAAATTTGATTATTTAGGTTTTTATTGTAACAAATTGAGTTATCTAATTACTATATTAACGAGTAATGTTTTCTTCACCYGTGACTCGGTTTTTAAGCTATACTACCCTGCAAATAGGCTAAAAAGTTACTGTAAAATAGTTTTCTGTAATATAGCTGAATATGCATACCAAAATATTGGTGTTTGGGCAACTGTGGGATATCCTACAGTTTGGTGTGATGTAACTATAGGAGACTTGATAGGATGGATTCTTCATCGTGAGTTGCACATAACAGACAAAGTATTTATCAATCTTTAGAAACGCTTCATTGAATAAGAGTCTTGTGACACAACTTTACTCAATTGTCATTTGATTTGACTTGTTATGTCGGAATTGACTCTACTGGTTATAACTAGTTAAAATCGATAAAACCACATGTAAAAGTTGAATTCTATATTCCGCCATTTATTACAGATAACCACTTGTAATGTTCATTTTACACAGCAGCTTTTCGGCCGAGCTGTTTTCCTCTTGGTAGCTTTTAGTCAGAAAGTTCAAGAGAAAAGACTTAAAAGCGAAATTTGGCGATTGTTCTGTGGTTTACAAATCCATGAACGAGACCTAGAGATATATTTGGGTTGGTTGCCATAACAATCTGACATACCACATTCATAGGATGACACCGCGGTAGGTTGCTCCAATATGGGGTCCTGAGATTCCAAGCACTGTAAATTATTTTGTCAATTGAGTTAACGAATCATGAAAACATTATTGCATATTCTCAAATCATTTGTTTTTGTGTCTTAAACAGAGAGGGAAAAATGAAATGATCGATTGTTACATATTTCCGGCTTTCCAGAAACCACGAAGCTGTGTTTAAGCCCGACGAAGCGTACAATTGCAAAAAACATATTTTCAATAATAACATTTTATTAGCAATACCATACATAACAAAACAATACTTCATAGTCTCTAACTATGAATAACAAATGTGATGTTGGCAAATGATAGAATAGTGTGGCCTTCATTATTTCTGTCGCTGTAGGGCCTGTAGACGCTGTAGTTCCGAAATCTTTTTGACTGAGATTTTTAGACTCAAAATAATCGGTTTAGAATTAACTAAAAGACGCAGTTTAGATTATATGAGTTAACCTTAAAACCTTTTCAGACAAAAGAAACTAAAGGAAGCAAGGATACAATGGGTCCTAATCACCATGAGAAGTGCCTTCTTACTCCGCCGACATCAAAAAATCATTGGCGCGAAATAAGATCACATAATTTTAACACTATTTATTTAAGTACTTTTTCTGAGACGTTTGCAACTTGGTGAAAACGAAAGATGCTCGAAATATATTGTTGCTCGCTCCGATCTAGTGTGGAAACTAGTCAATGCAAGTCTAAAATCACATCATGTACGAGTACACGAGATATAATTATTGTTTACAAGATTTATACCATAGCTTTATAAGACACTATATCCGATTTAAATTCGAAATTGGCGAGGGCCACTTAATGGAGCTCTTCCACAAAACAAATTTTTCTGTCTTTTCTACGTTTATTTTCTCCAGAGGTAAGAAGAATGTGAAACCGTAGTCATGTCTATGGATATTTTTTTTATTTTCCGCTATCCAGCTTACTTCATATTTAGGCCTTGTTTGGTATAGGTTTAGACAGGTTCTGATGAGTGCGCGCGAATCTGGGATAATTAGGATAATCTGTGACCAAAGCAATGGCAATGGCGAAAACGAGCTATCAATTCAAAATTGACACCTTTATCACGATTTTTTTTCGCCGAATAATAAAAGATCACGTCTGTTTKTTCTAGAAGACTGTTGGGCTGGTTGTACGAAGTGTTAATTAATAGCACTATCCCCCAAATAAATCCCTTATTCACCGGATAAAAGACTTACAAAATACCTTTGAACCGGTGMATAACTTTGTCTACCCTTTGCAGCTGGTCAAATTCTACAACAASAAAATGGGGAAATGTAATTCACATATTTTTGCACGGATGTAACTTAAAACAAAACATATAAAAATATCATACAGATGTCACGCCACTCGACTTCGCCTCTTGTGGTATATTTTGTTAACTTCGTTTGACGTCGACTGTGTATCTATTAGAGCACGGTCGCACGTAATAGAACGGGAATCTACTTATTATTTCAATATGGCTTTGTGATACTGGTGAGTCCACTCTTCAACCTCGACTTAGAGTCTATATGCAGCAACATAAGTTCCAAGTCATCTTACTATAAAACAGAACAAAATATTTTCTGTGTCTATACGATCGAATTAGGAAATACCATGAATATTGAATAGTTTGATGCGTGTT